TCACATGACCCAGACACTTGGCTCCTGTACAGATAAACCTTAAGCCAAACTGTAAGTGTGATGACCTCCAAAGCAGCAAGAGCAAATATTAAATAAACCAATTGAATCATAAACATCCATTTTAATTGACTATTGTATTTATTTTATCACTTGTCTTAGGAAAATCATTAATTACAATAGTATCGTGGTTTGGCTAATTTTATTATAGAACATTTTTTCCAATGATGGTATTTTTAACACTTCAAAAGGAATAAGGCACTTTTCATAAGGTTTACATATAAATGAGAGTTAACAGCAATTATTCAAGTGAATTATAACTCAGAAGAGTACAAAGAAATTCAGAAATAGTTACAGAACTACTGAAATCGATATTGGAAAAATCACAGAGAAGGAAAATAGTACCAGAAAACTGGAAACAGGCATCCAAATCTTCCAAATGGGAAAAGGAGAAGAATTACTATCATTAAACCTGATGTTAGTCCTCACTGAATTTCTACACTGGGTGCTCTCTAGTTCTCCTGTTCTTGGTAATAGCTGAAAAAGAAAGTGGCAATTTCTAAGAACCGGCATGAATTTGCTAAGTACTCTGAAATGTCTTCCTTTAAATTATGACAGTGATCAAATTCAAGTTCATTAGGTCCTGATTAGTTAAGTAGCACCTCTGTTACATAGTCCCCAAGCTCCATAGAAGGCAAAATTGCCATAGAATGTGTACCCACTAGAAAGAGACAGAGAGAGGGAGAGGAAGCACCTCCCAGGGGACAGCTACACCAGTCTCTTCTCCATTCTCCTCCTTGAATTTCTGGCACACACCCATACACACCTAGCATGTTTCTTAAGCCACCAGGTCAGAACTCGAACCACTCAGTCTGCCATGCGGGATCCGGCCATGCTAACCACTATGCCACTTTGCTGGTCCTGGTCTTTAAAATGTTATAACATGTTACAATAAATCTTACAGTGAACAAAAAGGAAAAGAGGGGACTAGAGAATGAGGGCAAAAACAATGAAGATGAACAGAAAATGCAAGTGTGATAAAAAAAAAAAAATTAAGGATATTAGGGCAGAAAAAGACCCTTGAGAAGAACTCTAGCTAAAAAACAATTTTTTTAATAAATAAAGTAAATGAAAATACAAGGTAAGTGACTTGTGTTGCCTCACAGCAAGTTAGCAGTGAAAGAAAAACAGAAAAGAGAACGTTAGAAACAAATTAATTAATAATAACTAAAGTAAGAGTCAAAGAGTTTACAAAAGACCCGGCCCAGGAAGCCTGGTAGGACTAGCCAGGCCCTCTCACTTCACTCTGAAAATGCACGCTGACCCACAATAGGACCATTGTTCCCTGCAAAGTCATTTCCTGAGGGTCCAAAGAGCAGAGTGAAATGTCCCCTTCCATCCTCTGTACTCACCTCATTTTATGCACACAACTAACTTCTCGGGCCAATATCCAGAGAAGAAAAATTGGACCTACATATGATTGCCTTGCTCCCATCCCTCCGTTTTACAAAATGAAGGTACCATAAAAACCTTTAGATTCGGGATTCAAATTAGTTAATTCAATGATCCATATACATTCTCAGAAATAATTTAGTTGGTTGTTTCACCACCAACATCTACTTATTTGATTTATTTAGAGACAAATGTGTCTATTAGCTATTGTAATGCAATGATTTCTTTTTTCTTTTGATGACAATTATGTCAATAAAAACAATGGTGAGACTGGGACCAGCAGATAGAGTAATGGCTATGTCGCTGGACTCCCATGTAGTTGACCACGCTTTGAGTCCCGGACCCAGTGGCTTAAACTCACACCCCGCGCATGTGCATGCATGCCCAAGATCCCGAAAGGAGAATGAAGGAGAAGGGATTGCGGCACGGCCATCCCCCCTGTGGGGTGATTTCTCGCTTTCTGTCTCTCTGTCTCTCTCTGTCTTTCTGGCAAGGTCACTCACCCTATAGCGAAAACCTCTACAAAAAGAAAATAAATAAATAAATAAATAATAATGGTGAGACAATGCGAATCTTACATGTGGAACAGTATCTTACAGGGTAAAAAAATTAACCTTATAGAAAAAGATATACAAGTTTTTTTTTTTATAAGTTACATCTTACCATAGAAATGATAATGATAAAGGAAATATTCCCATGAACTAATGCTTCTAGAAACAGTTAAAAAAAATAAAAAAGCTCTCAGCCACATGGTGTGCAGGTCTCTAGGGCTGGAAAATAATTGCTCAGAGACTTGGTGTTCAAATTGTCAAAGAAAAATTTGTGTGCAGTTTTGAGGATTTGTGTGCTTTGTACACGTTTGAAAGTCTATTTTTTTCCCCTAATTTTATATGTGCTTAGGTTTTTAAATTACTGAAACCACCCCATTTGGCAAAGAAATAAGAATGTTTTCCTTAAGTTGTTTTGTCAATGGCACACATGTGCCACCACCCAGCAAACAGTTGATAGCAAATCATAAATTCGTTTGCTTTAAGACAGAATCCCCTGATAACACAGGCCAGTGGTTTCAGAGATGAATGTGAAATACAGTCTTGGGGATGCTGAACATCCCTGCTCAGAAAAGAAAAACAATTTGTGTGGGACAAGTTTTAGGAAAGGTACAGAAAAGTATTTTTTACTAAGAATTTCATTAAATACATGAAAAGTGTTTACTTTCTTCTTCTCCTTTCCACAGTCAATGTTTCAAAAACCATCAAGCTATTTGATGGTACCGTAGGAGCAGTAGGAGTTGATAAACACCTGCTTGAAGGCTGTGTCCTAGGGACATTTTGAAATGACACATACTAATCAATTTAATCTAATCTATGAAGCCATCTATGGTCAACCTAACCTGAGTTTGTCTTAATTCAATAAGCAACTCATGTCATTTGCTATTCACTTACTTCAGTATTACATATAGTACTTCAGATAAATAATCAATGTATGCAGATTATGAATATATAACTATAATTATAAAATAAAAGGTGTTTTTTTCCAACTACCTGTAGTCGCCTCCTATACTTCCTCTCTTGTCCCTATAGTCTATTCTCTTCCTTTAAAGAATCCCATCAGAAGGCCCCTTTTCAAACACAGATCCAATCCCATTACTTGCTGAATCAAAGTTCTTACCGTGGTCTCCAAAGCCCTACTTGTGTGGCTCTGGACACCTCACCAACCTCATGTGTGATCATCCTCCCTGTGGGTCATTCCACTCCAGCAATGCAAGCCTTCTTGCAGTTTCCAGACCACACCAGGCACACTCCACCTCAGGGCGTATGCATCACTGTTTTCTTCACAAACACACCTGCATGGTTCAGATCTCTACTGTAATGTCTCAGCAGAGAGTTTCCCCAACAATCACCCTCTATATTCATCGCCCATCTGTAGGATTGTCAGGATTTAGTCCAAGGCGAGGCTCCGTTCTGTGGTGGCAGGCAACTTACCACTTGAAGTCCCGTAGATGGATCAGGCTGTGGGGCGAGAAAGGCCTTACTTGTCTCCATCACTTTTCAATTTAATGGTTGTCAACCAGCTGTAGAAGACAGTCATCCACACCCTCATCTTTGGAGGGATTGCCATTATTACGTCTTTGGGGTTTGCTGTTGTGCCTATTGCCTCAGTAATTTCTTTCTTTCTTTTTTTTTTTTTTTTTAAGAGAGATTTTTGCCTTAGGGTGCATGTACTAGCCCGAGAGAGACAGAGACGGTAAAAGAGAAAGTAAGAAATCACCCTCCAGTGTGGATGGCCACGCCACAGTCCCTTCTCCCCTGGGATCTTGAGTGCACACACGTGTGTGCCTGGTGTAAGTTTCAAGCCACCAAGTCTGGGACTCATACTGCAGTCCACCATGTGGGAGCCCAGTGACGTAACTACTATGCCACCTCCTGGCCCCTATTTTAAAGTTTTAAAGTTTTACTAGTTAATGATGTCAAAACTGCATCATAAAACCCATATTAATTTTTTTAGTACTAAACTCTTTTTTTTCCAGTTCTCTAGGACATTATTCCACTAAGATTTATTATATTAACTAAATGACCCTACCCTTTTCTGACAAGAGTTTATATAGAATAGATTGTGATCATCTTATCGTGTTTTTATTTGACAAGTTTAATAAGAAAGTGATCTATCTTGGCGTCCAGATAGTGCCACAGCAATACACAATGCTCTGTGATGTTCCTACGTGGGAATTTCCTCGGTTCACATCCTGAGGCCTCCTTACAGGAGCCAGTCAAGGTTGACTGAGGCTGAGGGTGATCATAGCATAAAGACGTTGTTCAGTGTCTTTCTCTTCTTTCTCTCTCAGAAGAAACAAATGTAAATATAAAGAAAAGAAAATAGGCATTTCTGGTATAATTCATTATGTTTGATTATCTAATTTATTTATGCTTTTAAAGAGTAGCTGGGGACCAGTAGTTAGTGTAATGGCTATGTCACTGGACTCCCATGTAGCCGACTGCAGTTCGGGTCCCGGACCCAGCAGCTTAAACTCACACCGGGCGCGTGTGCGTGTGTGTCCAAGATCCCGAGAGGAGAATGGAGGAGAAGGGATTGTGGCGTGGCCATCCCTCCTGGGGAGTGATTTCTCGCTTTCTGTCTCTCTGTCTCTGTCTGTCTGGCGAGCGCACGCGCCCTATAGCAAAAAGTCTCTCAAAAAAAAAAAAAAGAGTAGCTGTAAAAATCATGTGACAGTCACATTTTGACATCATAATTTTTTGCAAATTGTCATATGGTGTTAGTTTGTGTTTTAAAAATTGTTTAAATGATATATGTATACACATACATAGTGTAAGCTATTAAATGATTTATTGTAAAATAGGTAATTTATTGCATTTCTTTTTAGGCATTTCTGCCAACATTTTGATTAGAAATTTTTTGCAAAATATAACAAAGTTCTTTACAGTTGCTTTTGGCATTTGTGGTTTGAACATAGTTGTATTGCATTTTTTAACAACTAAATGAGTTCCACATGAAGAGAGCTATGCTCACTCTCTCTCCTCTCTTGAAACCCACAGACGTCTTGCCGGGAACGCTTTGACATACATTCCCAAGGGAGCATTCACTGGCCTTTACAGTCTTAAAGTTCTGTAAGTACACCAAGTATTATTGGATATATTTCTGATTTTAGTGTCAAATAGCTAATAACTAACTTATAAAGATTGGCTCTCTATGGGCTGGTGGCATGGTTTTTAAGACACTGGATTCCCATATGGCCAACCATAGTTCAAATCCTGGACCTAGTGACTTGCTTTCTTACTCCCCCACCCCTGCTCTCTCTCAATCTGGTCAAATTAAAAATAATAATTATTAGTAATAAATAAATTAAATTAAATGATTCTTTTAAAATTACTGATAAAAAAGATTGGATATCTCTAATAAACTATTTAGATTCATAGGATAATTCATCCAGATTCAAGTCTACCTTCATTGGTGCCATAGAACCATATTATGCTTGACTAAATATGAACAGACTTTAAAAAGTTTATGGAAAGGTGAAATTAAAATAGAAGTTAGAGTGATTAAGGCACTGGACTCCCACATGGTCAACATGCTTCAAGTCCTAAATGTGATGCCTAAAAAAAATCACGTTGGTCATATGTTCATGTGTGCCCAAAATCCCAAGAGCAGAATGGAGGAGAAGGGATTGTGGCATGGCAATCCTGCGGGGAGTGATTTCTCACTTTCTGTCTCTCTGTCTCTCTCTGTCTTTCTGGCGAGCATATGCTCCCTGTAGCAAAAACTTCTCAAAAAAAGAAAAGCACACCAGCAGCATGTGCGTGTGTGCCCCAAATCCCAAGAATGGAGGAGAAGGGTTTGTAGAATGTCCATCCCCCTCAGAGATACTTTCTCATTTTCTCTCTCTCTCTCACTCCTTCTCTCCATTTCTCTCCAGAGAGTGCATGTGCTCTGTAGAAAATTGTTTAAAATGCAGTTTGATAAAATTTAGTATTTTGCTCAAAGTTAAATTCAACAGTAGAACAATTATTTGATCTGCTTAAGTGATTTGGTTTGGTTTCCCTTCTCTTCAGATTATTTTTACTATTAAGCAAAAATGGGGGACTTTTTTGGGGGGAAGGGGAGTGGCATATAGTGTGAGTGCACTCTCTGAAGAGGGACAGAGAGAGAGACAGAGAGGGAAAGTGAAAAAGCACTCACACTCTCCAGGGGTATGGCCATGTCACAATTCCCTATCCTCCATTTTTCTCTTGGGATTTTGAGCACACATACACCCATACACCCTGCATGTTTTTTAAGCTGCCAAATCCAGAACTTGAATTGTACACTCAGCCATGTGGGATCTAGCTACCTTAACCACCACACCACTGGTTGGCCCTGAACAGAAATATTTTTAGGTTATCATGTTGCCAAACGCCATTCTTTAAGTGGTAAAATTCTGAATTGTATTGCCAGTTCCAATGTACCTAAATCTCCACAAAGCCAGCCAAATAGTTGGAAACATTTATAATGCAATACAAAAGCCACATTTATATAAGACAACTAAAGTGATTCTTTTCCCTTTGTCGACCTATGTACACTCAGTATTTTGGAGACTTGTTAAGTAAATTATACTGGAATAAATTATTTTAACTCACTAGGCAAAGATTTCTTAAATGGAACCCTTAAAACACGGGCCCTAAAATAGACAAGTGGGATTACATCAAGTTAATTCACTTAACAAAATGTACATTGAATATATTTATGTGTGTATGCAAAAGTATCTCCAGCCATCAAAACTGTATTTCAATTTTGAGTATATTGAGTTGTCAGAAAAGTCAAGATATATCTTTCTGTTTTTCCATGCAAAAAATACATCATGACTTTCCTAATGACCCAATATAATGCAAATATATATAAATTACATTACATGAATTATCTATAAACTATTATAATGACCTATCATTATCATTTTAAACCCTTGATTTCTTGTGTTTGAAATACTCAAGCTTTGCTTGAATGTCCTATCACAACATTTAAACATTTTGTAGTTATACCATTATATGTTTCCACACCCCCTCCATAGGGCAGGTGCACTCACTGGAGGGAGGGAGAGATAGTGAGAAAGCTTCCTCTCCAGGGGGTAATGACTATGCTGCAACCCCCTCTCCATTCCCCTCCATTCCTCTCACTTCTTAGGATTTGGGGCACACATGCACATGTACCTGACATGTTTTTCAAGCTCCCAGGTCTGGGACTCAAACCACACAGTCAGCTATGTGAGATCCAGCCAACTTAACCACTATACCACCTGCCTGGTCCTACCATTATATATTTCTAATTGCATTATGTTGCTACTGAATGTTTGTTTCTTACAACACACTAAGGAAATAGGATATGTTATCTGTCTTGGTCTCTGGTATATCACCAGTTCCTAAAACAGTTTCTGATTCATGGTAGACTCAGTAAATATTTGTTGAATAAATAATTCAGACTGATGATCGAGAGAGAAGGGGAGTTCTAGATTTGTCAACTTTTTCTTCAATTTGTGTGGATGTTGACCCAACACTGTACTATATGTTCATTAATAGGTTATCTATTGTACACTAAACAAAAAGGTTATGTTTTCATATCCAATATGGATTTCTGCCTGTGTACAGGATTTATTCACCCAGAATGTTTTAGCATGCATTCTGGCTTTCTATGGTGCATTTTGTCTGAACACTCTAGAGATCATTGGCTTGACCTTATTAAAAAATAAAATCAAAGGCTCTCTCTCAGGTTTGCTGTTTAAATGTACCCTTTATAACAGGAAAAAAAAAAAAAATAAAATGTGGTAACTGGCCCTCAGTTTTAGCTACTCTTAAATAACCAACCCTTTTAAAACGGAAAAAAAAAAAAACATAAAATGTGGTAACTGGCCCTCAGTTTTAGCTACTCTTAAATAACCAATGTCTCCTGTCTTCTGTATGGTCAGGGACTCAGCAAGGCCAAGTGAGTGTAATACTCAAAGTGGCGTTAAATTAATAATTGCTAGAAATATGAGGATCAACATATATGAATCATGCCCCTGAAGAGCTTATAATCCAGAGATAGATTGTGAGACCAATACGAACAGATCACCTCTGATTCTTGTGGAAAACATGTCTAGAGATGCATGCAGGACACTGTGGAACTACATAGGTTGGTTCAGATTTGGCTTCCTAGGAGAAACGTTTACCCAGAGAGATGACTCATGAGCTGAATCTTAAAGCACAACTAGGAATTAATTGCCCAAATAAGGTGGTTGACTGAGGAACAATACCCAGAAATGTAGAGGCAGAGAAGATGTCAGTAGAAAGAATTTGGAGAAGACTCTGTGGAAGTAGGAAGTATCCCATTACAAGGGTACCATATATCATGTCAAGTAAAACATGTACATTATTATGTTCTGGCATAATGAGAAGACGAGGAAATGATGTACACAAGGGAACAACATGTTGTGAGACTTTGCAGTTTAGCTAGATCACTGTCAATGTGAGGAAGGTTCAAGAAGAACAAGAAGACCCTGCCAGGTATTGTGTTCATTCTTCTCTTTACTTTGCTGACTTAAAGACTAATACTTAACAGACAGACTCATATTGGTAAATATTTTGAAAGTATTTGACATTCCTATTGGTCTGTTTGTGATGCTGTAACAGAATACCACAGACTGAATAGTTTATAAAGAACAGAAATTTATTTTTCACAGTTCTGGAGACTGGGAAGCCCAAGATCAAATCCCAGGTATCTGGTGAGGGCTACGTAGTGCATTCAAAATTGGCAGCTTGAATGCTGAATCCTCTTGAGGGGAGGAGCATTGTGTCTATTTCCCCCCACCCCAAAAGAAGAACAAAATGGGAATGAACTCTCCTCATCAATCCCTTTTGTAATGGCCTTAATCCATATTGTGTGACTGTCCTCCAGAAATTTAAAAGGCACCATTAGAAGATATTTGTAAAGCAAACTTTGAGATCCCAGTGTTTCTTGTTTCTTGGCTAATTTAATGATAACACTTCCCAAAAAGTCCACCTCCCAACTGTTACAGTGGGGCTCTGAGGATTAAATTTCAACATGAATTTTCAGAGGAGACAAAAACTTTCAAGCAATAGTAGTGTTAGAACAATGGTTCTCAATCATTGTGGTTCTTCTAAAATATGAGATGTTTTAAATATGAGGCATCTTTGGTGTCCAGATGATTAGCATGTAGTAAATAGTCCTATGATATGCTGTACAGCTCAGTACAAAGAAGAATTCTTGGGCCAGTGGGTGGCATGGTGGTTAAGGAAGCTAAATCCCACATGGCCAACTGTACAGTTCAAGTCCTGGATGTGGCAACTTTAAAAAGATACTAGGCACATGTGTGTGTATACCCAATATCCCTAAAAGAAGGGAAAATGGAGGAGAAAAAATTCCAGTATGACCATTCTTTATGATGTGTTTTCTCACTTTCTCTCTCCATTTCTGTATCTCTCTCTGGAAAGTACACATACCCACTGGCAAATTAAATATAAATAAATAAAAATAAAGAAGAATTCTCCCTTGGACCAGCACTATAGTTTAGTGGTTAAGGAAGCCGGATCCCATTGAACAATTATGGTTTGATTCTTGGCCCAGGTAGCTTGAAAAACACACCAAGTATGTGTGTATGCATGCCCAAAATCCCAACAGGATGGAGAAGTAGAAAAGGAATTGCAGTATGACCATTCTCCATTCAGGGGTGGGAGGAGGTATGATTTCTCCTTCCATTTCTATCTCTTCTCTCTTGGGTGAGCACACGAGCCTTCTGGCAATTAAAAAGAAGACCTCTCCCTTATGAAACCTGGCTGACTGTCCCCTCATACCAAATATAAATCATCGAATGGCCAGGTACAGTGCCATGTGCCTGTAATTACTGGGAAGGCAGAGGCAGGAGGATATAGGGTTAAACTGGCAACATAGCAAAACTCTGTCTGTAAAAGAGCTCTGGGGACAGCAGATAGTGTGGTTAAGGCGGCTGGGTCCCACATTGCAGACGCTATGGTTCAAATGTCAGACCCAGTGGCTTAAAAAACACACCAAGGGGACCAGCAGGTGATATGGTGGTTAAGGGCACTGGACTCCCACATGGCTGACCACAGTTAAAGTCCCAGAC